ATAAGACCCCATCGCCTCAGCCCAAAAACTCCTGAAACTGATAAGCAACTTCAGCAAAGTCTCAGGATATAAAATCAATGTACAAAAATCACAAGCATTTGTCTACACCAATAACAGACTTAAAGAAAGCCAAATCAAGAACAAACTGCCATTCACAATTGCTACAGAAAGAATAAAATACCTAGGAATACAACTTACAAGGAATGTAAGGGACCTCTTCAAGGAAAACTACAAACCACTGCTTAACGAAATAAGAGAGGACACAAACAGATGGAGAAACATTCCATGTTCATGGTTAGGAAGAATTAATATTATGAAAATGGCTATCCTGCCCAAAGTAATTTACAGAATCAACGCTATCCCCATCAAGCTACCACTGACTTTCTTCACAGAACTGGAAAAAAACCACCATGAACTTCATATGGAACCAAAAGAGAGCCTGCATAGCCAAGTCAATTCTAAGCAAAAAGAACACAGCGGTAGGCATCATCCTACTGGACTTCAAACTATACTACAAAGCTACAGTAATCAAAACAGCATGGTACTGGTACTAAAACAGAGATATAGACCAATGGAACAGAACAGACATCGGAGGCAACACAACGTATCTACAACCATACAATCTTTGATAAACCTGACAAAAACAAGCAATGGGGAAAGGATTCCCTGTTTAATCAATGGTGTTGGGAAAACTGGCTAGCCATGTGCAGAAAGCAGAAACTGGACCCCTTCCTGACACCTTACACTAAAATTAACTCCAGATGGATTAAAGACTTAAACATAAGACCTGGCACCATAAAAACCCTAGAAGAAAATCTAGGCAAAACCATCCAGGACATAGGAGTAGGTAAGAACTTCATGACTAAAACACCAAAAGCATTGGCAACAAAAGCCAAAATAGACAAATGGGACCTAATGAAACTCCACAGCTTCTGCACGGCAAAAGAAACAGTCACTAGAGTGAATTGGCAACCAATAGAATGGGAAAAAATTTTTGCAGTTTACCCATCTGACAAAGGGCTGATATCCATCCAGAATTTACAAAGAACTCAAAGAGATTTACAGGAAAAAAACAAACAAGCCCATTCAAAAATGGGCAAAGAATATGAACAGACACTTTACAAAAGAAGACATACATGAGGCCAACAAACATATGAAAAAATGCTCATCATCACTGGTCATTAGAGGGATGCAAATCAAAACCACATTGAGATACCATCTCACGCCAGTTAGAATGGCGATCATTAAAAAATCTGGAGACAACAGATACTGGAGAGGATGTGGAGAAATAGGAACACTTTTACACTGTTGATGGGAGTGTAAATTAGTTCAACCATTGTGGAAGACAGTGTGGCGATTCCTCAAGGCCTTAGAAATAGAAATTCCATTTGACCCAGCAATCCCATTACTGGGTATAGATCCAAAGGACTATAAATCATTCTACTTTAAGGACACATGCACACGAATGTGCATTGCAGCACTGTTTACAATAGCAAAGACCTGGAACCAACCCAAATGCCCATTGATAATAGACTGGACAGGAAAAAAGTGGCACATATACACCATGGAGTATTATGCAGCAATCAAAAATGATGAGTTCGTGTCCTTTGTAGGGACATGGATGAATCTGGAGAACATCATTCTCAGCAAACTGACACAAGAACAGAAAATGAAATACCACATATTCTCACTCATAGGCAGGTGAGGAAAAATGAGAACACATGGACACTGGAAAGGGGGTACTACACACTGGGGTCTATTAGGGGTAATAGGGGAGGGACAGCGGGGAGGGGCTGAGGGGGGATAGCCTGGGGAGAAATGCCAAATGTGGGTGAAGGGGAGGAAGACAGCAAAACACATTGCCATGTGTGTACCTATGCAACTATCTTGCACGTTCCACACATATACCCCAAACCTAAAATGCAATAAAAAAGAAAAGAAAAAAAAAAGAAAACCTAAAAAAAAAATAAAAAAGAATGATGGTCTCCAGGTTCATCCATGTCCCTAAAAAGGACAAGAACTCATCATTTTTGATTGCTGCATAATATTCCATGGTGTATATGTGCCACATTTTCCCTGTCCAGTCTATTATTGATGGGCATTTGGGTTGGTTCCAGATCTTTGCTATTGTAAACAGTGCTGCAATGAACATTCGTGTGCATGTGTCCTTATAGTAGAACGATTTATAGTGCTTTGGATATATACCCAGTAATGGGATTGCTGGCCCTTTTTTTTTTTTTTGAGACAGAGTCTGGCTGTGTCACCAGGCTGGAGTGCAGTGGCGCCATCTTGACTCACTACAACCTCTGCCTCCTGGGTTCAAGTGATTGTCCTGCCTCAGCCTCCCAAGTAGTTGAGATTACAGGCCTGTGTCATCACCCTGGATAATTTTTTTATTTTTACTTTTAGTACAGATAGGGTTTCACTATGTTGGCCAGGTTGGTCTGGAACTCCTGACCTCAGGTGATCCATCCACCTCGGCCTCCCGAGGTGGGAGGGGCTACAGGTGTAAGCCACTGTGCCCAGCCATATGTCCTACTTTTAAAAAGGGTATTCTTCAATCCAAGATTGTAAAAATAGTCCTTGAGGTTTTTCTTCATTTTTTGTCATTTTAATTATATATTCATATATATATATATATTCATTTTTAATTACCTTTGGTTTGTTTGGAAATCTGGCAAAAGTGAGAAGAAATCTACCCATTTTCCCAGATGGGTAATCATTTATGAGGATTTTTTTTTTTTAATTTGAGACAGAGTTTCACTTTTGTTGCCCAAGCTGGAGCGCAGTGGCGTGATCTCAGCTCAGTGCAACCTCTGCCTCCCGGGTTCAAGCAATTCTCCTGCCTCAACCTCCCAAGTAGCTGGGATTACAGGCATGCGCCACCACGCCTGGCTAATTTTGTATGTTTAGTAGAGATGGGGTTTCATCATGTTGGACAGGCTGGTCTTGAACGCCTGACCTCAGGTGATCCGCCCACTTGGTCTTGGTCTCCCAAAGTACTGGGAATATAGGCGTAGGCCACCGCACGTGGCCCAGGAGGGATTTATTTATTTATCTGAAACAGAGTCTTCCTCTGTGCCTAGGCTGGAATGCGGTGGCCCCATCTCGCTCACTGGGTTCAAGAGATTCTCCTGCCTCAGCCTTCCGAGTAGCTGGGATTACAGGTATGCACCACCACACCTGGCTAATTTTAGTAGTTTTAGTAGAGAGGGGTTTCATCATGTTGGCCAGGCTAGTCTTGAACCTGTAGCCTCAAGTCATCCACCTGCCTCATCTTCCCAAAGTGCTGGGATTACAGGCGTGAGCCACTGCACCCAATGGGAGGAAAGATTTTTATGGAAGATGGCAACACATTTATCTGTTTTCATGCTGAGAAGGAGAGTGCAATGGAAAAACAGTAGATATTGGAAAAGGAGTCAAAAGCCATGATTTAGGACTCACAACAAGGATTTGGGCTTTTACTCTACATGCAAAGAGAAGACAATAAAACATCTCATTTTTGTTAAAAAATATTTTTTTGTGCCAGGTGTGGTGGCTCACACCTGTAATCCCAGTACTCTGGCAGGCCAAGGCGGGAGGATCTATTGAGCCCAGGTGTTTGAGACCAGCCTGGGCAACATAGTGAGACCCCATCTCTCTAAAAAAAAGAAGCAGCCGCTTGTGGTAGTGTAGAGTGGTATAGAGCAGCCTGTGGTAGTGTAAAGAGAGATAGCAGGGACTTGCACTGGGCCAGCACTCATGGAAAGAAACCTGCATTTCATGGTAATAGGATAGGTGTGGCTGCGTAAGGAAATGATCACCGTGCATCCAGGCAGACAGTTGTGCCATGTGGCGTTGCCTATATAGGAAGGTTAGTATTTAACATACATGGAAATGACCATGCTACTTTCTTCTTCTTTGAGTTTGACTATTTTAGATTCCACATATAAGTGAAATCATGCAGCATTTGTATTTCTGTGTCTTATTTCACTTAGCCTAATGTCCTCCAGGTTCATCCATATTGTCGTGTGTGTCAGGATTTCCTTTTTTTTTTTTTCTTTTTGAGATTGGAGTCTCTCGCTCCATCACCCAGGCTGGAGTGCAATGGCGAAATCTTTGCCCACTGCAGCCTCTGCCTCCTGGGTTCAAGCAATTCTCCGCCTCTGCCTCCCGAGTTCAAGCAATTCTCCTGCCTCTGTCTCCCGAGTAACGAGGGCTACAGGTACACACCGCCACATCTGGCTGTTTTGTATTTTTAGTAGAGACAGGGTTTCACCGCATTGGTAAGGATGGTCTTGATCTCCTAACCTCATGATCCGCGCACTTCGGTTTCCCAATGTGCTAGAATCACAGGTGTGAGCCACTGTGCTTGGCCCTGGATTTCCTCGTTTTTTTTTTTTTTTTTTAAGACAGAATAATATTCCATTGTGTAATAAACACATTTGTTTTGTCATTCATCCATCAACAGACATTTAGTTGTTTCCGTATCTTGGCCGTGGGGAATAATGTTGCAGGGAACATGGGGGTGCAGCCTCCATGTTTGATGTAGTCCCATTTGTCTATTTTTGCTCTTGTTTATCTGTGCTTTTGGTGTCATATTCAAGAAATCATTGCCACGTCCTAAAGTTTTCCCCTTTTATTTTAATAGTTTATAAAAAATTTTGGTCTCACATTTAGGTTTTTAATCAATTTTGAGTTAATTTTTATGTATGGTATAAGGTCAGGGTCCATGTTCATCTCTTGCATGTGGAAATAAAGCTTCAGACACGGAATTGCCTTACTGTCCTCCGGGAACCTCCCCTTCTCTTCCGAAGAACCAGGAACCCGGGGCCCTCCAGCTCGCAGTGGCCCTCTCGTGACGTCTGGGGTCCTAACAGCTTAGCCACGACCCCGCCTCAAACGCGTGGAACTACCCTTCCCAGAATGCCAGCGTCCTCCCGTGGACTCCATTTCCCAGAGGCCTCAGCGGCCGCCCCGCCCCTCATGATCCCTGGCGAGCCGCGGAGCGTTTGCCGCAGATTGAGCGGCGCAGGGACTAAGGCAGCTCAGGGGCCTCCGGGTTGTGAGGCTGCGGCCCGGTTGGGCGATTTCGAAGCCTCAAGCCTGCGGAGCGCGGCTGGGGAGGTGCGTCCCAGGAACGCCCGAGTCTGGGGAGGTGAGCGACGGAGGCGGGCCGGGCCTGGAGGAGGTGGCGCCGGGCGTTGGGACGGCCTGCGGCCGCCGCGACTCCGAGAGCCTTTGTGGGCGGGCACCCCTTCGTCTTGTCACCGGCCCCCGCGTTGGGCCCTGGACTCTTGTCCCCCGCGGACCCCTCCCGCGCCGCCGCCGGTGACTCCGCGTCGGGCTCGCAGCTACCCTCCATGGACGTTGGGTCAGGCGTTTCCTCCCGGGTCCGTCCTGTGCGCGCCATGTGGGCCTCGCGGACTCGGGGTGCCGGGACTCCGAGCGCAGGGCGGACGCAGCCGGGCCCCGGTTTCCGTGTCCGTCCGCATGATGGCCGCCCCTTCCGCCTCGGGACACCTAACGCTTTCCTCTTCTAAGCCGTTTTCTGTGGAAGTCAGGAGATGATTGCTTGGCGGGAGGCAGAGGAACTGGGTGGGAAAAGGCTTGGGGGTGGAGGGAAGTCGTCCCCGGGGCGGTCGTGTTGGGAGTCTCGAGCCAGCCTCGCAGGGGCGTGAACGGGACAGGTACCCTGGCGCTGCCTCAGTTTCCTGAGCGGTGCAGTGGGTGGTGGCAGTGCCACCTGGCGCTGGGGGACTCAGCGGCTCGGGGCGGGCCCTGGCCCTAGTGGGCTCAGCGGGTTGTTGCTGCCGCCGCGGGTCCAGCGTCCGGTCCGGAAGCCCAGAGCCCACGAGACCTGGGCCTGGACGGGCGGCCCAGTGCTGCTCGTCTGCGAGCTCCTTGCGTCTCCCTCTGAGGACGCGCGGGGTTGGGTTTCAGAGCTGAGGATTCCAGGGCTGGCAAGCAGATGGGGCTTCCTTCTGGCGTCCTTTATCTTCTCAGATCCGCCTTCTGGAGGCTGCACCGCCCTCAAGGGAGAACCCAGAAAGAGGATATGGCTGCTGGGCAGCCGGAAGCGAGGCCCCAGGTGAGCTCATTGCCGTCCCAGATCTCAGTGAATGGATTTTCCCACTAAAAGTTTTTTGACCCAGGGCCATCTTCGGCCAGGACGGAGCCCAAGTCTTTTTCCCTTGGTGGAGCTGGTCCATCCTTAGGAGTGGTGGATTCTGTAAGGAGAACCACCCACCCTCCCCATCCATGTCGAGTGATTCTTTTTTCTTAATAAACGCACTTTGTTCATTAATCTCAATCCATTGTGTGACTAATTTGACAAGTAAGATGCTAGAAGTCTATATCAGTAGGGACAGAACAAACGAGCACCCCTTGGGAACAGCCCCTGCCTCCTTCACTCACCCACGTCTCCCTTCCTATTCTTTGCAAGAGTACTTTTTCTTTTCACCCCTGAGAATCCTCATAACACCACCCCTTCCCCAGGCTTCTCCAATGCTAGTTTTTAGTTTTTTTCTTCCCCTTTGTAAATCATATTATTTGCCTGTATCATTCTTGAAAACTGATGTAGACTATTTTCATTTTTGTGTAGTGGGAATGAGAAGGCCACCCTTTCTAGGTGAGAGAAGAATGAACAGAAATGGAGAGGTCACTTGACTCCCAAGGACAGAGACAAGATCCCTCAGGTAGCCTCAGGAAGTGTTTCATGGGATATCAGTAGTACAGAGGCAGCATACGTGGTGGTTAGGAAGTAGGGCTGTCAAGCCAGATGGCCCCGTTTTAATCTATCTCTTCTGTTGCTGTTTGTGGGCCTTGGGCTTCACCTCTCTGTGCCTCAGTTTTCTCCCATTTCTAAAATGGGAATAACAACTTTCTAGCGTAGACGAGGGGCTCACATGAGTTAGTGTATGAAAACGTTTAGATCCGGGAGGGCTAGGCACATAGTTACTGCTCAGTATGTGGTGGTTTTGGTCGCTGAATGACATTGTTAATACATTAATAATGTTGATATATAGAAACTGCTGTACAATGTGTTTAGGACCCAGATGATGTTATTCATGTTTTGTCTAACAATAATGACGTCCACTGAATGTCTAGCATACCAGGGATTGGGCTGAGGGGCTTTACCTTTGTTTTCTCACTCTCATAATAGCACAACAATTAAAATTTTTGTTTTACATGTAAGGAACCCGTTAAACCCAGAAAAGTTAAGAAACCTGAGCACATTTCAATTGTGTCGGGCTCTGAGTTCTCTCCGACCACCCAGTCATTTCTCTGGGGCGTCTTTCAGAGTCTGGGCACATCCAGCCATGTGATACCAGAGCTCTTCTGCTGGCATTATCTTTTAGACCAAGGGAACATAGTGGAGTTTGATCTGAGGGTGTGGACAGAATGAGCCATTATGCATTTGAGCTGCTCTTTGTCCTTCAAGGCATTCCTGTTCCCTTCCAGCAGAGCCAAGCTGCTCTCCTGACCAGAACCTGCTGCATCCCTGTGTTTGAGTGAATCTCTGTGACATCCTTCCTGTCTGCCCTTGCTGCCCATACATCAGTACTGTGTAGACATGAGTGTAAAATTCAGTGAAGGGAATTCTGAGACCAGAGAAAGTACAGAGTTCATTAGAGAACTAGAGTTAGGATCCTGCCACTGCCACTAGCAAAGCACATGACCTGGGTCCTTGGCTGCCTTGGACCTTGTGTTCTCATCTCAGGGCCCTTTCCAGCCACACAGTTTTTCATTGCTCAGATTATTTCATGCATTTTCTAGTCTGCCAGTCAGATCATGCATTCTTTCCTTAAAGAAACATTATTTCTTGTACTCTTACCCACTGTACAAATAATTTGATACTCTTGCTCACCATAAAAATATCACAGGGTCATGGTGTAAATTTTAGAGAATAAAATATTTGCACATATATATGTAGGTATCTGTATTTGTGTTTATGGATATGTGTGTATATACGTGCACATATGTGTATGTTTATATAGATGTGCATTGCGTAATGATGTTTTGGTCAATGAAAGACCATAAATGTGGCAGTAGTGGCTTAAGATTAAAACATAGCTGGGTGTGGTGGCTCATGCCTGTAGTCCCAGCACTTTGGGAGGCCAAGGTGGGTGGATCACCTGAGGTCAGGAATTTGAGACCAGCCTGACCAACATGGTGAAACCCTGTCTCTACTAAAAATACAAAAATTAGCTGGGTGTTGTGGCAGGTGCCTGTAATCCCAGCTACTCAGGAAGCTGAAGCAGGAGAATAGCTAGGACCCAGGAGGCAGAGGTTGCTATGAGCCAAGATCTTGCCATTCCACTTCAGCCTGGGCAACAGAGCAAGATGCTGTCTGAAAAATGTGTTTCTTATTGACTTAGTAGCCATTGTAACATTGTAGTGGAAGGCTTTGCTCCTATTTTGTGGTGATTTTGGTCTAAACAGGCCTACCGTGCAGCCTGTCAGTCCTATAAAGTATACAACATATACAATTATGTATAGTCATAAAACTTGATAATATCTGCCTATGTTGCTGGTTTATATATTTATTATACTATTCTTGATACTTTACGGTGTCTTCCTTTTGCATATTTTTTTAAACATTAACTGTAATAGCCTCAGGCAGGTTCTTGGGGGTGGGGGTGTAATCCAGAAGAAAGCTTTGTTCTCAAAGGAGATGACAGCTGTATGTGTATCATTGCCCCTTAAGACCTTCCAGTGGGACAGGACGTAGAGGTGTAAGACAGTGGTGTTGATGATGCTGGCTCTGTGTAGGCCTAGACTAATGTGCACATTTATGACCTAGTTTTTAACAAGTTTTTAAAAGTAAAAATAAAAGTTTTAAAATAGGAGAAAGTTTATAGAATAAAGATGTAAAGGAAGAAAATATTTATGTACAGCTATACAATGTGTTTATTTTAAGATAAGTGTTACTACAAAGAAGTCAGAGTTTGAAAAAACTAAAGAGTTTGTAAAGTAAAAGAGCTACAGTAAGCTAAGGATAATTTGTTGTTGAAGAAAGAAAACTTTTAAAAACTAAATGTAGCGTAGCGTAAGTGTACAAATGTTTAAAACGTCTACGGTCATGCACAGTAATGTCCTAAGTTTCCCATTCACTCACCACTCAGGCAACTTCCAGTCCTGCAAGCTCCGTTCATGGCAAGTACTCTGTACAGGTATACCATTTCTTATTTTTTATACTATATTTTACCGTGTCTTTTCTGTGTTTAAATATATTTGCATACACAGACACTTAGCATTGTTTTACAGTTCCCTATAGCATTCAGTATGGTAACATGCTGTACAGGTTTGTAGCCTAGGAGCAATAGGCTGTACCATATAGCCTGGGTATGTAGGTGGCTGTACCATCCAGGTTTGTCTCTTAGCTCCCATAATAAGGAAGTAGCTTAACAATGCATTTCTCAGAATGTACCTCCATCGTTAATGCAACACATGAATGTATACTTGTGTGTATTTCATATATACAATAGAAAATAAAACCACCCTTAACCCCACCATCTGGAGATAATCACTGTCATTCAGTTTATTGTATAGCTCAATAATTTTCTATATATATACAAATTTTTTTGAAGGGGGACAAACTAAATAGTGATATATAACCTACTTTTTGTGCTTAGCATTTTCATGGATGTCTTTTTATGTTAACAAATAGCAGTTTATACCATCAGCTCTAATGTTGATGTAGTATTTGTATTAATGTGATAATAGTTAACATTTGAACCTTTAATGTGAGCTTGTTATGGTTTTAAGTGCCTTGTTTGGATTATCTTATTTATTAACTATGAGGTAGATTTTGAGAGGCAGTTTTAGAGTACTTTCAAATGGAGCCTAGGACATCTGCCTGGATTGGAATCCCAGCTACACCACTGAACAGCTCTGTGACTTTAGACAAATTTCTTAGCCTCTCAATGACTTTATTTCTCTTAAAATGGTAACAGTAACTCTTCTTCATAGGGTAATTGTGAAGGTTACATGAAGTATATACTAATGATTAATATAAAGCTCTAAAAATAGTATCTGTCCCGTGTAAAGCATTCAGTAAAATAGATTTATTCTGATTTTCATCATTACTATCTTCAAGTTTGAATGAGCATACAGGTAGTGCCATAAGTTATTTAACCTAGCCTATATCAGTGAATATGTAGGTTATTTCCAGTTTTTTTGTTACTAACACCATGGTAGGTATCCTTGTGCTTATATTTTTTGTGCACTATTCCTAACAGTAATTGGTGAGCTAAAGATTATATACATTTCTAAGTTTTTAAATATGTATTATCAAATTGCCAATGAAAAAGTAATTAACACTCCTACTAATGGCCTTAATCCCTCTACCCATCTCTTATACTGGCTGGGTAAGGCCTGGCTCTCACTGTGTGCTGCTCAGTATATCTTTGTTACTGGCCTGATTTAATTTATTAAATTTATTAAATGACCTGGAACCTTCAGAAGCTTGAATAGTATCAGAAGCATTTCTTGAGTAGCCTGTCTTCCCCACTGCTGCCCTCTCCACTCTGAGGGTGGTCCTGGGTGAGCTGGAACGGCTTGTCCTTACAGGTGTCACTGACGTTCGAGGATGTGGCTGTGCTCTTTACCCGCGATGAGTGGAGGAAGCTGGCTCCTTCTCAGAGAAACTTGTACCGGGATGTAATGCTGGAGAACTATAGGAACCTGGTCTCGCTGGGTAAGGAAATTTCCCCTCTAGAAACGGAATTCAAAAATTGGGATATCCCGGGCCAGGCACCATGGCTCATGCCTGTAAGCGCAGCACTTTGGGAGGTTGAGGCGGGTGGATCATGAGGTCAGGTGTTTGAGACCAGCCTGACCAAAATAGTGAAACCCCATCGCTACTAAAAATACAAAAATTAGCTGGGCACAGTGGCAGGCGCCTGTAATCCCAGCTTCTTGGGAGGCTGAGGCAGGAGAATCGCTTGAACCCGAGAAGCAGATGTTGGAGTGAGCCGAGATCATGCCACTGCACTCCAGCCTGGGGGGCAGCGTGAGGCTCCGTCTTAAAACAAACAAACAAAAAAAAATTCGGATATCTCAGCACTTCCCTTCTTGAATAAAAGCTGTGGGTCACCAAAAAACTTGAGCTGAGTTTGAGAATTATACAAATCAGGTCTCTATAAATAAAAATTGAAAACGTTCTTCCTCCTAATAAGTGTGGAATTCCTTCACGTATTGACAGGTGGGTATTGATAAGTGGGTATTGATAATTATCCCCTTCCCACTACACAGTTTCACATTAGAAATTCTCTCATAGTTCAGGCAACATTTTTTCACTTTGGTTGTTCTGTGGTTTGTTTGCTTACCTCATCCTTCATCGACCTACCATTGCCTTTCCCACTTCTCTTTTCCAGCCAGGTGAATGTTGTAAAATCCACCTTCAAAAGGGAATCATACGATGTTTTCTCATTTTAAAAAAAGTTACTTGATACATCATTCTGTAGATTCCTGTTCATACATTTTAATTCATCCATACATACAACGTTCCTTCTGTAAAAAAATCATGGTACTCTAGTAATCAAGGCATACCTTGTTGTGTCAAAACAAGACCGAGACTTTTTTTTTTGTCTACGTGCAGGACTCCCGTTTACCAAACCAAAAGTGATCTCCCTATTGCAGCAAGGAGAAGATCCCTGGAAGGTGGAGAAAGACTGTTTTGGTGGCTCCTTTCTGGGTAAGTGGGTGGCTGCAGACAAGGGTCTGGTTAATGAGAGGAGGCACAGCCTGGAATATTTGTTGACAAGCTCCCTTGAGGATTCTCAGAACTCAAAAAGTGTTGGGGAAGGGGAAGCCCAGGCTTGTATACAGGAGCTTCTGCTTATTCCCTTGTAATCACTTCACCATGAATCTCTCAGAGTCTCTTTTCTTACTCTTTCCTTTTGTTTCAGGAGAGGGCTGTATTTTCATGTATTCATTAAGTAAACATAGTATATTTAAGGAATTTCAAATAATTCACTCTGGCTGAGCTCAGGGTATGTATTTGGGAAAAGGAGGAAGGAAGGAGGGAAATAACCCAGAAAGCTAGGAAAAGGCCATGTGGTGAGTGCTTTGGCACAGTTCTAAGAGGTGGAAACTGTCCCACAGAGCCCTGGAAATCATGGAGGGAGTTGGGCAGGGAATCATATGGTCCTTGGTATCTTAGAAAAATTGGTCTGAATTAGAAACAGTTGAGTCTTCATCAGTGTAAGAACCGCTAAGGGACCTGCGGTGTGTCCTTCCTCTGGCCAACATTGCCACCCTGAAAACAAGAGCCAATGGACATGGATAGAGCACCCAGCAAGTTACAGAGCATTGTTAGGATGTCACCATTATGGTTAATGAAAATTATGTGTATGTGTAATGCGCACGTAAGCCCAGAGAGAATGTTTAGGAGGATACACCTTAGCTGATGCTGACATTAGTTACGCTTGAATAAGATTGAGAATGGGTCCCCAAAAAGGGGACATTATTTACATGTAGTATTTTAATTTTTCACAAAGAGAATATATTCATGATGTTCTATGTGATTCGAGTTTAATACAGATGGTGACTTTGGGAACATTGTGATTGAAAGTGAGGCAAAACTGGAGGCGGGAAGCCTTGCAGAGCGATTGCAGTCATGGAGGGAGACAGACAGGCAGGAGGTGGAAGGGCCTGGATGAAGGCGCTTGCTGTGAGTTCATGAGGGAAGAGGAGGCGCCTGCGTGATCAGGGTACAGGAGAAGTTGGATGTGGGCTGGATTTCACTTGAGATGGAAGTGAAGTAGTCAGATGGAGATCGCTGGTGGGCAGGTGTGTAAGTGACAGGGCTGAGATTCAAGGGAGGTCAAGGAGCCGTCAGCACAACAGGGGCGTTGGAAGCCTGGACCTGGCTGGGTGAGGGGGCCAACCAGAGGCCTGAATCCAGGAAACAGCATTTGTGAGGCACTTAAGCAGGAGTAATCTGTGATAGAGCCTGAGGAACCGGGGAGGGGCCATTGTGGCAGTAGGGGACTGAGAGGTGTTGAACTGGGGGGCTCTGGGGGATCTAGGTTGAACCCTCAACCACAGCTTTGCTGTCCCTTGGTCAGTGATGAGCAAGCTGTGCTGAGTGCTGCTGGTATAGAATTGGGCGGAAAGAGACGCAGTTCTCTCACTTCTGGAGTACACGATCTAGTGAGGGAACAAGGTGAACACGCTCACGTGAGGACCACATGGGAAAGACACTTGGTGCTGTGAGAGTACAGAGCAGGCAGGGCGGTGTCAGCAAAGGCTTCCCTGAGGAAGGGCCTGGGATTCAAGGACTGAAGAATTTCTTCAGGCCTAAAGAATGGTATTCATGAAGGTCCAAAGAAGTAAAGCCAGTGAGGAGAAGGCAGAACAGGTAGCCGAGAGAGCCACGGGCCCTGTCACAGGGTTTGGTTGGTGCTTGAGAGCAAAGCACAGGCTCTGAGGAGCCATAAGTAGCCCAGGGCAGGCCCAGGCTGTGTTCTGCAGACCCCAGCCCATGTGGGGAGTCTGATGACCACAGTGCAGGGCTTGTCAGGTCCGGAGGGCTCAATGACAGCTCCTTGTGCCATGGGCCCAACGAGGAGCTGCAGGGCAGGCAGCCTTGGTCCCCATAGCCCCTGTTCCAGGGAGAGCTTTCTCATGATGGTAGCTTGAACTTTTCTTTTATAGGGGAATTACACCTGTGTTTTTACTCTCCTTTGAGAGAAATACACTAATTTTATATTAAATTAAAATTTAATAAACTGCCAGAGGCCACCACAAAGTAAGCAGAATGCAAGCAGCAGGGAACCAGGTAAGATTTAAGGGGGGGTGTCAGTCTGGCCATTATGTGTGGCCTGAATCTCCTGTGGAAGATTAGAGGAAAAGAAGAACTGTTATCTTTCCCCTCACCTGGGGAGCATCTGATGGCCAAGTAAGTCTCCCCTCCAGGGAGAAGTGAGTATTAACAGGCTGAAAATATGATTGGAGTCTAGAGCTGTCCTGAGGGTTGCTGGGCCCCCCCCGATAGTGTTGTCAGTCAGTTCCTTTTCAGATTTGGGAGGATATCCCTGCAGGAAAACTGAGCAGGTTGTTGAGCAAGTGAAGGATGTCAGAGCTGTTTCTTGGCTGGTTCCTCTTGATGGGATGACCTTCCTCCTCCTTTTGTCAGATGGAAGTCAGATGGCATTACTAAGGTGCTGACACGTGTTTGCATCTCTGCTGTACCCCTGGTGGGCCTCCTGTCTGCCTGGACTAAGATCGCCTCAGGACAGAGCTTCCTTTTACCATGAGAGTTCACTTCACTGAGAGCGTGGTTGAAGGACTGGGATGTTCCTGGAATTACTTCAGACTCCAGCTCGAACCAAAAACTCAACCTGTAGGCTGGGTATGGTGGCTCATGCCTGTAACTCCAGCGTTTTGAGAGGCCAAGGTGGGAGGATCACTTGAGCCCAGGAGTTCAAGACCAACCTGGGCAACATAGACCCTCTCTATGTTTATATAATTGTAAAATAAAAAACATTTTACACAAAAAGCTACCCCTTGAACAGCCAGTGACAGAAAAACTTGTTCTCCCAGGGATAGGACTCTCTAGAACCTCTGGTAGCCTCAAAATGTACAAAGTTATTTTCTTTTGAGATGGACTCTTGTTCTGTCACCCAGGCTGGAGTACAGTGGCATGATAATAGCTCACTGCAGTGTTCTCCTCCCAGGTTCAAGTGATTCTCATGCTTCAGCCTCTTGAGTAGCTGGGATTACAGGCACATGCCGTCATGTCCAGCTAATTTTTGGCATTTGTAATAGAGACCAGGTTTTGCCATGTTGGCCAGGCTGGTCTCGAACTCCTGACGTGAAGTGATTCACCTGCCTCAGAGATTACAGGTGTGAACCACCACACCCAGCCTGCTTTGTTTTCTTATTGCAAGAAGCCATCTTGGGCAGACTGAATTGTGCAGGGTGGTGAGCAGAGGAGTTGGTCAGTGAGGTTTACTGGAGCTGCCACTGCACACAATGAAGGCTGTCTTTTCCTGATTTGCACAGAATGCTCTGGAGCTTAGCAGCAGCCCTTATGAGATGGCCTGGAATGGTTTTAAAGTGACTGTGCTTTTAAGGTGGAAATGTAGCCACAATGCTCTATAGCCCTGTTTTATTTTACTTAATTTTGTAGAGATGGGGATCTTGCTATGCTGCCCAGGATGTTTTTGAACTCCTGCCCTCAAGTGATCCTCCCATGTCAGCCTCCCAAAATGCTGGGATTATATGCCCGAACCACCTCACCTCTCAGTCTAGTCCAGTTTAATTTGTATGAGTTAGTCTTTTTCTTGTCTGTCAACAAAGACTCCTACATAGGGCCTGCCCCTCCCCTCGTACCGGCAACATCTATTCTCTTTGTAACTTCCAGAATTAGCTATTTAAAGAGTAAATCAAGTTGTATTGCTTCCATGCTCAAAATCTCCAGTGGTTTCCATCTCATACAGCATAGCCCAAAGTCTCCATCATGACCTTCAGAGACCTACAAGGTCTTGCCCTAGCTACCTCTTTACCCTCATCTCCTTCCACTCTGCCCCTCATTTGAGGCCTCTAATCACCCTTGGCTGCCCTGTAGTTTGTCAGAGGGACCAAACAGGCCCCCACTCAGGCCTCTGCCCTTGCTTTTTTCTGTTTGGGACTGTTCTTTATGGTAGTCATGCACCCACATGGCTCACTTCCTTGTGCTGCACCGGCATCTGCTCACACGGGCACAGCTCATCTGAGTCTTCAGTGTGCTTTATTTTCCCTCCCTGTGCTTAGCACTGTGTAATAGTACCTAGTTCTCCATGATCTGTCTCTTCCTCTGCATTGTTAGCTGCTGTAGGAGGTGTTGCCTCTTTCATTTACTCCTGTTTTCCAAGAACCTAAAACAGTCCCTGGCTAGGGTAGGCTTCCAGTTATACAGTGAATGCACGATTGACTTGGACTAGGTTAGTGGTATTGAAGACAGAAAGAAGTGAACCAGTTCCATAGATGTCCAGGAGATAAAGCCAGCAGGACTTGTATTTGATGTGGAAGATACACGAGATAGGGTTGTCAGGGATAATTGCTTTGTTTCTGCTTTGTTCTGGGATGCCTGGTGTCATTCAATGAGATAGTAACACTGGAACGAGATTAGATTTGGAGAATGGTATGAGTTTGATTTTCTTTTCGGGGCAATTTTTTTTAGAAAATTTTTGAGATAATAGTAGATTTATATGCAGTTGTGATAAGTAGTATAGAAAGATTCCACCTTATACTCATTCCCAAAATCATAGTGTAATATCACAACCAAAATATTGACATTGATACAGTGAAGATACAGAAAAATCCCTTCAGTCAGCACAGAGATCCCTCCTGGTATCCGTTTGTAGACACACCCCTTTCCTTCTTGTTCACTGCCCCTATTCCCTGCCTCCTCTTTTCCTTAAGTCCTGAAAATCACTATTGTGTTCTCTCTTCTATAATTTTATCATTTGAAGAATGTCACACACATGAAGTAATAAAATGTATATAACGTTTTGGGATTTTTTTTTTTTTTTGTCCCAGTTAACATCATTCTCTGGAAATTCATCTGTGTAGTTCTGTACGTCAGTACTTCATTCCTTTTAGTTGCTGAGTAGTGAGTTCCATAGAGTATACCATAGTTTGTAAAATCATTGCCTTGTTGAAGGACATCTGGATTATTTAGTTTTTGACATTTAAGTATAATGCTGT